AGGAAAGCTTAGCGGCCTAGAACTCTGAATGCCCTTGCCTGGGTCTCACAAGTTACCCAGACGACAAAATTGAAACCTGGAGGAGGGAAGTGATTTGCCCAAAGCCACATGGCCAGATAGATGGAGGCAGAGCCGGCGGGTAGAACCAGGTTGATTCTGTGTGGCTTTGGGCCATAACATGCTCTTTATTTTACCTTCTTTAAAATGTTTACTTATTTTTAAGAGAGAGAGAGAGAGAGACAAACAAGAGAGCAAGCAAGGGAGGGTCAGAGAGAGAGGGAGACACAGAATCGGAAGCAGGCTCCAGGCTCTGAGTTAGCTGCCAGCACAGAGCCTGATGCGGGCCTTGAACCCACGAACCGTGAGATCATGACCTGAGCTGAATTCGGAGGCCTAAGTGACTGAGCCACCCAGGCGCCCCATAACATGCTCTTCAAAGTGGCACGTATCTCCCTCTCCCTGTTCCCCTTTGGCTGAGGTTAAAATGAAATGTATTCCCCAAAGCCCCCTGGTACAGACGACCCGGCGGTTGAAATCAACGGCAGGGAGATAGACGGTCAGGTGCAACGGCAGTAGATTGTGTTGAGCGGTCAGCTACGTTTTTTAAAAAGCACAAGGGCCCAAGACCGGCTGAATGCTGAAGGCCAGGAGCAGGAAGGCGGTGGGGCGAGGACCAAGGGCAGGTTCGGGCTCCCCTTGGTCAGTGTGCTGGGGCCGCCGGCCCAAGGCTGGTAGCAGCAATGCTTAAGCACCCTGGGTTTACAGCAAGATGTTTGGAGGTCCTGCGTTTAATGAGGCGCTCACCGCGCCAAACGGGAGTGGTTAAGGCACACTGAGCAGATTGCTCCTTGGGAAATTACACTTGCCCCCCACTATCTTGTTTTCCGTCATTTATTAGCCTAACAATCCCGACGGAGATGCGGGGCAGATGTTACTCCCCGCCGCCCGCGGTCGGGAGCACAGACTTGGCATCTCGCGGGGTCTCTGTGCGCGTTTCTCTGAACTGCTCCTGTCTGTCTGTAGATTAGTTCCTTCTGAGGAAGTGTTTTTCCATCAGCAAAGCTTGCCTGCCTTTGAACCACACTTGAAAAGAAATGTTCAAAGGCCACGCCAGCCTCCCCAAACACCTTTTTCCAAGGGCGGCTGTCTTCCCGCCGCCGGCACCTACCTTCTCTTTGGCTTATATCTGAGGATCTGGCTCAAAGGCGGTGGCTTTTGCGGGGCCGACGCGCCGGGAAGGACAGGACGCAGGCCAGCTGCGCGCGGGCCACGGCTGCCTTATTGATACCAGAGCGCCCTGGATCGCCGAGAGTTTTCCGACGTGTGATCCAGGTCCAGTTTGTGATTTGTGACCTGTCCCCGTTGTTGAAGCCACACGTCTGGATTTTTCCCCCCCCTTTCTTGGAACTGATGTGTTAGGGCTTGTTTGAATTGGACCAAATGCTGTTTTAACAGCTGTTCTCATCGGAAATGCTGTCAATTATTAACCCCGACGGTAGTTTTGCTTTCAAAACTACTTCTCTGAGCTCTCAGAAATGTCGAAATTTGGCTTCTTGGTAGGAAGTCGTGTAGCGAAGTTGCCTAATTGCCCAGCGCGCATCAGTTTCCCCTGAAACTGAAAACGTGGGGGCCATCCTTGGAAGCGCCTTCCCCGTAGGGTTGCTGTGAGCTCACACATGGAAAGTGATTAGGAGCCGCTGGGGTGGTGGGTGGTTGTTGTTGTTGTTTTAATTTTTTTTAACGTTTATTTTTGAGAGACAGAGAGACAGAGCATGAGTGGGGGGGGACAGAGAAGGGGAGACGCAGAATCCAAAGCAGGCTCCAGGCTCCGAGCTGTCAGCACAGAGCCCCACACGGGGCTTGAACTCACAACCACGAGGTCGTGACCTGAGCCGATGTTGGCCACTCAACCGGACTGAGCCACCCAGGTGCCCCTGTTGTTAAGAGCAGCTCTGGCCCGCCAGCTTTTATTTCCAGGAGCTTCCCCGCTGTGATCCCCACCCTCAGAAAAAGAAATGTTAAAAAAGTCTTTGAGTGAACAGTTTTCCTGTTCGTTCTTTGACTCACCAGAGGGTGCTGAACCCTTTCCCAGGGCTGGGTGGCCCGCGGTGAGGCCCGGTCCCTGCTTCTGCTGTTTGTGGAGACCGGCTGGGCTGGAATGAGCGTGCTCTCCACCCAGCCCAGACCCAGCCACAGGGAAGCCCAGCTTTGCTATAGATGCTCTCCAAGTGTACAGCCACCCCTCCCCCCTTCCCTTCTCCCATACCTCTGTAATCCTGTCTCCTGCAGCGGGGCCTCCATTGGGTTTGGGCGCAGGACGGGGCCTCAGTCCCGAGGCCCCACGCTTCCAGAAAGTTCCTTGTCCGTGTGGAGTTGTGCTGATGGCCCCCAGCCGATGTCTGCGGTGTTGGGATGCGGGTGGAGAAGGCCCCACACGCTCCCAGCAAGGTGGAAGGGTGAGACTGGGCACTTGTTCTGAGCCGTGGTCGCCTGGCGGCCTGGGTCCCAAACCTGGAACTGGGCACCGCTTTGTGAACTCTCAGCAGGTCCCTTTTCCTCAAAGCCAGAGGATGCTGGGCTCGGGACCAAGCTCCGCAGAAAGATCCCACCTGTGGGAAAGGCTGTGGGCGCGTGTTTGCTAAAGGGTATCGGGGAAGGGGGAGGCCAGCGACTTTTCCTTTCTCGCCTTCAACTCGCAAGACCCTGACACTTGACCTGTTTGCTCGAGGAAGTGGGCGGCAGATGGGAACCCTTTTATAACCGCCTACCCCAGAGCCTGAGAGAGCTGTAGGTGCTGCGTAGGCTATGGTAACTGGAGGTTCAGAGCCTGCCCGCTGTCTGCCTTCTTGGCTCAGGCGGGAGTGGCAGCCAGAGACCCACCGAGAAGGCTTGCGGTTGGTCTGGCCCCAAGGCACTGCCTCATCCCTTTGCGGGAAGGCTGCTGCCGCCCGCCTCCCCTTCCCGCCGCACGTCAACACTCGATCCACCGTGGCCCTTCCTGCCCCCGTTGCTCACCCTGGGCCAGGCCCAGGTCTGCGGCCAGTGGCGAGCACTGCAGCAGAGAGCCTTGAAAAGTAAATGCAGGGAGGCTGTTTGGGATTCTTCTGGCTGAATGTTTATTGAGCACCTACTAGGTGCCAGGCACGGCTGTGCTGGTCATTTGAGGTAAGAAGCTTTGGCCCAGTAAGATTCCTAAGGAATGAGCCTGGTTTGTTTAGTTTCTTTCTTTCTTTTTTTTTTTCTTCTCCTGAGTTTTCTTAATGTTTCATTTATTCTTGAAAGAGAGAGAGAGAGACAGAGCACAAGCAGGGGAGGGACAGAGACAGAATCCAAAGCAAGGCTCCAGGCTCCCAGCTGTCAGCACAGAGCCCGACGCAGGGCTCTAACTCACGAACCACGAGATCACAACCGGAGCTGAAGTCGGACGCTCACCCGACTGAGCCACCCGGGCGCCCCTGCTTAGTTTATTTCTGTTTCTTTCCTGTTGTTAATATATCCTCCTATGCTGATTTGGCACAATCAGCGTGCGACAGTTGAGTTACTGTGGCTCTGTGCGGGTCTGGACGGAGATGCCCACCAAGCTGATTGTTCTAGAACTCCCCCCATATACAGCCCTGATTCCTGTTTCCTTCCCCTCCCCACCCCATCCATCAAGGAAACAATGAACAGAAATGAGAAAGGGCCCTGTTTGGGGGTAGGACTCTACCCACTCCGGCAGCCGCAGGAGGCAGGGCCACACGGGCCCATCAGGTGTCGTGCCCCCCGCCCCCTGGACAAGCGGTCTCTGATTCACAAGTCAGAGACATCCTTGTCAGCAGCTGGGGGCTTCGAGGGAGGTGGGGTGCTAGCTCTGGGAATTCTCCCAAAGCCAAAGTCAGGGGGCTGCGAGCCTTCAGACGGCATCGTTTTCCTCGTATGTGCACCAGGATTTCTCACGGAGAATCCTTTGATGCGCAGACGATCACAGATTTTTAAAGGCCGTTGTCACGATTTTGTCTTGGGAAGATTGCAGTGTGCTGATGAGAGCTTCGAAGGCTGCCGTGGGCCCTCGATCCCCCAGTCCTGGTGGCCTCAGGACTCGCTGCATGATGAGATGTGTGTGTCCGTCATTGGCCTCGGCCTCCCGGCCTGGCCACCGCAGACCATGTGGCACCTCCCTCTTTTTTTTTTTTTTGCCAAACTGCTCTTGATCCAGGGCTCACGTAGGACGGGGTGGCAGAAGCGGTTGATATTTACTTAAATGTGAGCTTTTCTGGAACATTGGGGCTGGCGCAGAGAATTGGTCAGCCTTCCTGGGAGCAGCCCATATGAAAGATTAGGATTCCTTATTACCTCCTGAGCGGTTCTTCAAGAAGGCAGTGCGTGACCCTAAAAAGTGGGGCCTTAATGGTGGGGTTTTGGGCCAGGCATCCCAACTCTTGGGGTGGGGGGAGTAGCGATCGTTCTGGTCCGGGAGCGGCAAAGTGAAAAGCGGAGGGGGAGTGAAGTAGGTCCCCCTGAGCCACAGGTCCCCCTGAGCCACATGTCCCTTGGGCGCCTGTGACCCTGGGGGCTTCCTGTCACCTCCTGCCCTGTCTGAGAGCCAGAGCACCTGTTTTGCTGTTGCAATTGGGCACCATCGGGCAATTCCTCCTGACCCCCTGTGGGGGGAGGGGGTGCTTCTGGTTTCGTGTGGCTTTAATTAGGGCTTCCTTCTAGGGCAGACAGACTGTCTTCTGATCCAAATGCATAAACCACCTCTCTGATAGAGGAGTTTGGAGCTCCACAAAATGCAGGCAGCCTGGCGGGGGCCGGGGTTGGGGGGAGTTGGAAGAAGTTTCTTCATGCTGCGGATTGAGCAAGGCCTCCTGGTAGGAGGCCAGCTGAGGGGGGAAAGCTTGGAGGGCCGGTGATTTGGGGGCGGTGGGGGTGGAGGGTAGCGTTTGCATTTCCACCCATGCGGACCTTTCGGGGACTTGATTTATTTGCCCGGGCTTCACGCGGCCTCTCTTCTTTTGCAGACGGAGATCGCGAAGAGGTTGAACACGATTTTAGCACAGATCATGCCTTTTCTGTCTCAAGAGGTAAGACCTTTTCTTTAACCGTGTCCTGCATGTCTTTCCAGTGTAGCCCTACGCCGGCCGGGTCTCACCGGAGCCCCTGTCCCCTGTCAGTTCATGCCGGCCGTAGCTGGCCACTTGGGGACTTCTAGAAACTTCTCCAGCCCATCAGAGGGAGCGTTTGTTCATTTTTCTGGCCGAACTGATTCTCTGTCACTGCCTGAGACCAAAGAGGAGGGTCCTGGCCTGACAGGGGGCAGTGGGTGCCTCTCTGCCCCCCCCATTTCCCATCCAGACTGGCCTTTCCAGACTCTGCTTCTCCATGCCCCACCTCCCCCGCCTGGAAATGTCTAGAAGCAAGAAGCCTGGCCAGATAGTGCTAAGGGGCAGATCCTAGAAAGGGAATGAGTACCAAGGGGAACCCTAGCTCCTAGGACAATGTGTCCTCCCTAAAGGCATGACCAGGCAGTCGTATTACCTTCTAAGCGCATTTTCCGAGGGACCCCCACCTGAGGCCTAGACGGGGCTAGTGGGTGACATGAGGGAAGGGTCTCCAAGGAGACACCCGGGCCAGGCCCTGCCTCCTCTGCTCCCTGAGGGGCTGGGACCACCCCCACTCCCTCCTGGCCGCCTAGGCCACTCTGAGTCAGAGTGGCCACCAGTAAGTGACCGAATCCACATGAAAACAGACTATGGTGACGTCCTCAGAGCTTTGCGGCCCAGTAAGGTGGACGGCTGTGTAGGAAGCAGGTACTATCCCAAGATGGGAGAGAATGAATGTACCAGCACAACCTTTTTCAAAACGGACCTATTTTTTCGAGCGGCTTTAGGTCCGTAGCCACCTATGGTGCGGAAGGCACAGGTTTCCCGTAGCCTCCCTGTTGGCGCTGTCTTGCACCAGAGCGGTGTCGTCAGTTACTGTGCAAACTCCGCGGTGTATCTCATGGAAACACCCTCCTACACGACTGCCCGTTACCGCACCGAGAAAGCTAACAATCAGGGCACGTCCTCTCCTCTCCAACTCGTATTCAGATGCGTGGAAGGGAGTTTTTTGGTACGTGTGGTAGAGGGAGGCGGTCGACTCATGGCCGTCCTTTCGCCCATTTAGACTTTACCTGAAAACGGTTCATGGGAAGTTTGCGCGAGTAGCGCGTGCTCACCGGAGAGGGTTGAAAGGAGGTGAAAGTGCCCTGCGCCTCCCGTTTAGGGGGCCGCTTCTGCCGCGTGGGGGGCTGCATCCCTGCCTGTCCCTCCCTGGGCCCCTTTTGTCGGCCAGGCAGCGCATCTAACACCCTCCCCCCCGCCATTCCCCACAGCACCAGCAGCAGGTGGCCCAGGCCGTCGAACGTGCCAAGCAGGTCACCATGACGGAGCTGAACGCCATCATCGGGGTACGTGGACTCCCCAATCTGCCTCTCACCGTGTGTATAGCCCTTTAATTCCTCTCATTTACCGTAACCAGAGATAGACTCTGACCTTAGCTGGCCTCAAAGAATGGCGGCCCCGGGGCTCTCCAGCTTCCCTGGGCCAAGCCCCATTTGGGGGCTCTCTCCCCATGAGCTCCCCAGTTGCCCCCTACTCCCCACATTGAAGGGGTGCCCCGCACGCCTCAGACGCACCTCTAAATTCATCAGCCCCCAACCTCCCCCTGGCATTTGGTGCCCCCATCATTGAGAAGGGGTGGGACTCTGAGATCACCCTCATCCCCAGCCTCCCCCTCAAGCCTCCCTGGGGGCCTGTCCTTCCTGTGTCCCTTCCCTGACAAAGGGCTGCCCTTCTTCGGCCACCTGGGATCAGAACCGTCTCTGCCGTACTGTTGATGTGAAACGTGCTGTGGAATTTGGGTTTGGGCTCTGCTGTGCCAGGCACCAGGCTGCCTGGCGGGGTTGATCACGTGCCTTTAGGAACTCTAGCGGCGGGGGGTGGGGGGGAAGGGTGTCCTCGAAGTCCTGTCTCACCCAGGGCAGGACAAGTGGGACCCCTCAGCCAAGTGGCGAAGCCAGATCCCTGCCCTTTCGCGTCCCTGTCTGGCTCACATCTTTAATCCATTACTTGGATTCCCGTAGCACCTTTTTGCTGCTTTGGTGTGAGGCTCGGGATATTTAAGACGAGCAGCCTGGGAAAAACAGCTTTCTCATGTGACTTTGGGCAAGGCTGTGAGCCTCAGGTGTACCTGTCCACCTCTTGTCCCTGAAATGAAGGGGGTGGGTGAGATCCGCCCTTCCCAGCCACAGACAGCTGGCTCGGGGGCCCCCGGGGCAGCTTCAGAACAACACAGAGCCCTGGAGGGAGGGCGACTGGGAAGCTGCGTCTCTGCAGTTTTTCCGCTCATTCTGAAGGGTAGTCAGGCTTGGGAAGCAGTGGCCCAAATGGCTGAGGTCCCGTCAGCCCTAGTAATATTCGGGGACCCTGCCTGGTCCGTGTTTCTGTTCTGGTCTTATGTGAGGTCATGATTTCAAGGTGGAGCGGGAGGCCCCGGGCTGTTCCGGCTGTGGGATAAACGTGAACCCCTGGGTTCTCAGGCTGCGGCACAAACCCTGAGACTCGCGTTCTCGCGATGGTTCTGCCCTGTGTGACCTCAGCACATCCGCCTCTTCCCAGGCCTCAGTTTCTGCATCCGTGACGGGAGGGGGTGGACCCGCTCGGCTTCCCAGACTGGAAAGTGCTGGATGGGGGGGGGGGGGGGTCAGAGTGGCAGAAGGATGCTGGTAGCTCGTCCCACCTTACCCGGTCGTGTCCTGGTCTCGGTCCCACAGCAGTCGCTCAGTGTGGCCACGGGAGGGCACAGGCCAGGGCGTGAGCGTGGTCTGAGCCCGGCGACCCTGGAGAGGAGCAGAGCAAGGTCGGGAAAGTGGACCAGGAGGGACGTGGTCGGTGCCTTTGGCCATTGAGCTGAGGGGGAAATCCCAGCACCGGAAAGTGTGTTATCTTCCCTGAGGTCGGCCGGCCCTGGGGTTTTTCAGCCCTGACACTAGTGAAGTTTGGGGCCAGATACTTTGGCGGGGGGGGGCGGGGGGGGCTGTCCTGGGCGCTGTAGGTGTCGAGCCGCACCCCTGGCTTCCACCCCCTGGATGCCATTAGTAGCCCCCAACACAGTTGTGTCATCCCAAACTGTCTGCAGACGTTGTCAGGTGGCCCCCAGTGGAGAAGCACCGAGGAGGCCTATGGCCTTGTTTTACAAAGAAGGGGAAGTGATTCATGGATGGTCACAGAGTGTCCAGGAGTGTCACCCCGCCCCCTGCTCGGCCCGTCTGGGGCCTTTGCTTCAGTGACCTGTTCACGGCTTGGTGGCTCTCTAAGAGTGGTAGAAGGGGGACGGACGCGGGGCTGGGAAGTGCCCTGAGAGCTCCGCCCTCTGAAATTTCTCCTCTTCCAGCCCCTCGTGTCCTGGCCCCTTTCGGGCTGGGCCGGCTGTGCGGTGGCCACGGCGGGTCCCCTCCCCCGCTCCCTCTTCGGAATCGAAAATCCTCTTATGAAAATAACTTTTCTTTTTCCCCCCTAAATTCTAAGAAAAGAGCGAAATTGGGGAAGAAGTGCCGCCTGGATTAGCTCCACTGCCTTTAAGTAGTATTTAGGAAGCTACAAGTTTAGGTCAAGGCAGCTCGAGGCAGATATTGGAATTCAATTAAAGCCAACGAGTGGGGCCTGTGACCCCCATTTTCAAGGTAATTGCTTCTCCGGCTCGGAGTGAATGCTGCCGTCGCCCTGTCATTAAGCAGGCGGCCGTCTAATCGCTGCGCCTGACAGAGCCTCACAAGGCAGGAATTACGGACAGCAGGAGCCGGGCTTGACTGCACTTGGCGAAGGGGAGGAGAGGGGAGAGCGGGCTGGCAGCCCAGGAGACTGGGGGAGGGGGGAGGGGTGAACAGGGCGGCGGGGGGGGGGGGGGCATGGGCTCCTCGCAGAAGGACCCCTGGGTCCTGGGCCCAGCAGTAAAGGGCTCTCAGTAGCAACCGGTGGCTGGCCCCGTGGTGTTACTGGATTTGACCGTCTGGAGGGAGAGGTAGCCTGGGCTCCTGGTCTGGGAATTAGGAGGGCTTAGGGCCAGTCGCCGTTCCCCCAGGCCTCAGGGTCTCCATTTGTGAAAGGATGGAGGCTGGCTCGGTAACTGTCACATGATGTGCTTGCTTCAGTGCAGCATTTATGGCTCTCTTGGGCATGGAGTTGAAAGACCCTGAGGCTGGGTCTTAGCTTGACCGTGCCATGTGTCTGGCGGGGGTGGGTGTCCCTAGTGGCATATTCATTGTCTGGTGTAGTCTTTCTAGGGTCTCCTGGCCGCTGTGAAGGGGGAGGGGACGGGGCCGAGGGAGGGAGCCCAGGCTTGCTCCCACCCTCCAGGGAACTCAGATATCCTCGAGGAAGACGGGGCCGCCAGACGGCTCTGTCATGGAGTCCCCACTCTGTTAGAGGCCCTTTCTGCTTGGATCTGAAGAGCTGGGAGAGTCAAGATTCTGAAGCATGGTGGGGGTGGGTTGTCCCTCGAGCTGCGTCCTGCAGAGGGCATCCTGCAGAGGGCATCCATCGGCAGAATAAAGACCCTGCGAGCCGACCCAGCAACCATTTCCAGACCCTGCCCTGGCCCCTGGTGACAGAACCCGACGGACGGAGGGGATTCATTCGTACCCTGACAGTTTGGTCTGCCTTCCTTTGGAAATGTTTTCATGGAAAACAGGTCATGAAGTGTTGGCTTTAGTTTTGGGAGCTGGGGCGGGGGTGGGGGGTGGGGAGTGGGGAGTGAGGAGGAAGAAGAGGGGAGATCGTAGCTTGTCACAAACTACACGGTATTTGGAAGCCATGCCTGAGGGTGTTTTGCATTCGCTCTGCGATGTCCATGTGTCAGATTCAGTTGACTGCATTTTCCACGAGGAGGAAGGTGGAGAGGGCAGGCGGGCTTCAGAAGACATCGGTCTTTTTCAGGCCGGCGGCGCGGTGGGGAGAGGGTGTGCGGGATGATCCCTGTCCCCGAGCCTGGCCCCATCTCTGAGATAGGACATCCATGGTTGTTGGGGGCTCTGAAAGCTATTACAGAGCTCGGAAGCTCAATGCAGTGTGGCCGTGCGGGACCCACCGGCTATGTGTGCTGGAAGGATCGGGGAAGGCCCAGGGCGCCTCTCTCTCTTCCCCTGGGAGGGCGGCGAAGGTTTATGTAATGCAGTTAGGACTCTGCCTCCTCTGGTGGGTGTCCTCGGTGGGCCTTGGCTCTGCAAATGGTTAGACAGCTTCCCCAAGTTCAACCCACATCGTGAACCTGCGACGTGAAGCATTAAATCACCCAGCAGAGGCTTTAAAGCGTGGTGTGCGTAATCCAATTACATGCCCTCTACAAGGAAGAGTTTCCCTGTCAGCCTCTGCCGTAAGTGGCTATACCTTCTGAGCCCAGGGCAACGGGCGCGTGCCACCCGGATGGAGCAAGGGATTCGCTTACGCGCTCATGTGCTGGCACGAACTATTATTACAGGGAGGACGAACACCGCTGAGTGGGCTTGGTTCCAGATCCTGAGCCCCTCTTTGGGGCTGGGGGTGGACAGGGGATCGCTGACTTCCTTTCACGTCCCGGATGGAGAAGTCTCGGCCTTGGAAGGAATGGTGGACACTGGAGACGGGCTGCAGCCAAGCGGTGAATGCGGTCCCTTCTTGGGACAGTGGACTTGACTCCGTTTTCTCCGCGGTTGTCACCCCCAACCCCCCTCGCATGGCACTGTATTCCAGCACATCGTCCTCTGAAGTCAGGGACATGCCACAGGCGACTGAGGACACCCGGCGGTGCCACCCGCCCGCGGAAGGGCTGAGGCTGCGACACGGGGCTGGCAAGGGCCTGTGGATCCTTCTCAAACAGCTTCCCCTGCCACGCTGGGGAGAAACTTGTCTCACTCTCTGTTGCGACCAAGACTGTCATTAGCAGATGCTGCACCCTGCCGGTGCTGACATTTGCCCTCGCCCCAAGAGAGAGGCCTTGGGGGTCGGCTCTTAAGTCCCTGTTTCCTGGAACCTTCTGGGCCACTCCTGACTGTGCCTTCAAACCGTGCAAAGGAGACCTGGAGCGACTTTCTGGCTGTGCCAGGAGGTGCTTTTGTACTCAATGATGGGATGTATATGGATATTTCCTTTCCCCTGTTGCAAAGAGGACACTGGCGCCTGACATGCTATGAGCGAAAACCTTCCAGGCTTCAGAGCTCAACAGCTTTGAAAGCCCTTGTTCGCCAAACAGCCACCGTAGCCTTTGGTCCAGATTCCTCCTGCTGGTTGACTGGTTTATGTTTTTGGGAAGCGGGACACCCCACAGATGCTCCTTGTCCCCACAAACTGTTCCAGCCGCATCTCAGCGGGCCTCGGAGAGGAGGTGCAGGATGTGGGAGGTGGTCACCTCCGGACAGAACCACTCTGCTGGCTTAACTTCCTCTCCCCGGCTATCTTTTCCATTAGGTTACTTGAGCACCTACTTTGCCTTTCCATGTAGCGTAATGCATGTGGTCCTTGCACAATGAGACAACGAACAGAGACTCCGAGATGTCCACTGACTCATTGAAGGTCTCGTGGCGGATAAGGTGGACGTCCAGCCTCTATCCTTTAGGACGTCCGCCCTGGCCCTGGTGTCTGAGCCGTCAGAACTCAGAAGGGACACATCCATCCTGACCGGGATGATGGGAAACGTTTCCAGAAGAGGTGGCATTTGAAACTGGGCAGGCTCGGGTAAGAGGGCGAAACTTACCCAGTAAGGCAGGAATCAGAGTGTTTGGAGTTCTTAGACATCTTTCCCTGAGCACAAATCCTTAGTAAGTTCTTTTTCTAGAAACCGAATTGTTCATGGAAGGAGCCAGCCTTGTGCCCAAGTGGCTCCTTCCCTGAGGCCATTTCCTCCCCTTTCCGTTTCCTCCCCTCTCTGCTCCCTCCGGCGATCTTCCTGACTGTGCGCTATAACAAGTGGATTAAATACCTCCCTCCTTGCTTTCTGGGATTTTACTAAATAGCTAACACTGGCAAAATCAAAAGGCCTGCCAGCAATTGGTCTAAAACCACAGGGCTGTTGGCGGAGACTTTTCTTAGAACTGGGCGTGTGATAGAGTTGGATCATCGGTCTACACCAGGAAATGGTGGGTAGCCATTGGAAAGGGCGTGTTGATTTGTACAGAACAGTCTTCGATTCACATCCAGTTGTATGGTAGTAAGGTTAGCAAGAGCCTATGTCTTTAGGAATATAGTCACAATTTATAGATTTCCATAAAGGAAAATCTGAAGAGATTAAGGGTGGAATCTTCTAGAGAGTGGGATTGAAGGGTAATTTTTTTAAGAAAAAACTTTAAATCCATACTCAATATTTAATGACCGCATGTAATTGTTCTTATAATAAGGCCTCACAATGATAATTTCTTTAAAAAGAAAAGATGAGGGGGCCCAGGTGTGAGCTCCCGGGTCTAAAAAGAGTGAGTCTTCGGGCTGGGCTGGGTCTCCCCATGGGGCCCCCTGGGCTTTTGTTCCTGCTCTGGCATCTCGGCTTGTGGCTTCCATAAACCACCTAACAGTGGATGACCCAGCGCTGAGTGACTACCATGGGTGCAAGCCTTTCACCCAGCGCTGAGAAGCAAGGCCCCAGGGGCCATGAGTGTGGTGGTGGCCGTGGCTGCCATTGACTTTGGGGTGAGCCCCGTTTGCCTTTTGTAGCTTGGTGGGGGGAGAGCAGGGCCCCTAACGCCTGATTGCTCACATTCACTGCCTCTTAGAGCCTCACCTCCAACCAGAACCGTAGACCCTCCCCCCTGGGTTCTGTTGTCTGTGAGCTGTGGCCCAAAGCCAAGTTCATACTGACAGGTTAGATTTTTGCTCCTCATCACCCCCACCAACCCTTCTGGCCTTGAGGGTCTCCTTAGGAACACTCTTCGAATCAGATTGGTGGTTGGCAGGTCTCACTCGCTCTTGGACTTGGCTAGCTACTGGCTGCCCACTCCAGCCCACCGAGGGTCACTTTGCCTTCTATAAACCGGGCCTGACCCCTCCTTTTCCTCCTGCTGGGAAGGGTCAGAGGTGATCTTTGGAAAGTGCCAGGCATTCACTCAGGCATGCAGCAGATGCTGGTGCCCCTCTCCTGCACTGGTTGAGAAGATGGGTGCCTAGGTGGCCATCCGCCTATCCAAGGCCCCCGCCGCCCCTCGGAAGTATTTGGCCGTGGCGTAGCCTGCCGCACAGTTCCGGAGGTTCTAGGCGCAACGTTAGGAATGATAAGATAAAGGGCATTTTGTAGTGGCTGCTGGGAAGGCAGCAAGGCTGCCCACACCAGTCCCTTGGGGGTAGGATGCAGACTGGAAAGAGAATACCGGGGCTGGTCTGGGGAGGGGGCATCTGGGGCGTCAGGGAGCAGAACGCTTCATTGCAGATTGTTACCGCTGCTGTGGACGATGATACAGGGAGACACGTGTGTAGATTTTGTGTGGGAAGCCCCTTGTAAGCCCCCTGGTAAGTGTTAGCTATGAGGTCACTTAATGAGTAACCTGCCTGAGGTCACACAGGAAGTCCCAGAGCTGGGATTCGAGCCCCCTCTGTCAAGTCCCAAAGCCACAAGTCCTCCTGTTAACTCTCTTCTCCACCCTGACGTCCAGTGACCTTAGCGCTCCTTCCACTGGCCCCGAGCTCCCTCCTCTTGATCTGGAACTTTCTGCCGTGGCCTGCTCTCCAAGCGAGCCTCGGGGCGAGGGGGGGGGTTCCTCAGAAACGAGGGAGGCGTCCTGGGATACGGGCTCAGGGTAGGAGCCATGCGACTGCCAGCTTGGAAATAGATCCTTCTCAACAGAGAGGGAGCCCAGGTGGCCGTTTGGTATTTCAGCGCATGCTTTTTATTTATCTCAGGCTCGGAAATGGACCATGAGAAATTCTGTCCTGAAACCGGGGTGGGGGGGTACGAGGGGGGGAGGTTGAAGACACAAGTCTTGTGCCTCGGTTGCTGTCCTTTATTAACGGACTTGCTCCAGCCAACCGGTGTGTGGACCAAGCTGGGGGTGAGGGTTCTGGAGGGTGCTCCCCCGCCATCCGCGCTCCCCCCCCTGCTCACCGCCTGCTTCGTTACAGCAACAGCAGCTCCAGGCCCAGCATCTTTCCCACGCCACGCACGGCCCCCCGGTCCAGCTGCCGCCCCACCCATCAGGCCTCCAGCCTCCAGGGATCCCCCCGGTGACGGGGAGCAGCTCCGGGCTGCTGGCGCTCGGTGCCCTGGGCGGCCAGGCCCACCTGACGGTGAAGGACGAGAAGAACCACCATGAGCTGGACCATAGAGGTGCGGCCCAGAGCTGGGGAGGCGGTGGGGGGGCATTCCTGTGGGCCCTACTGTGAGTCACCCTGGGCCCAGGAGTCAGCAAAAGCTTTGATTTCCTGGTCTCTGGAAAGCGGATACCCGCCTCCCAATGCCTACCCCTCCATGCCTGATGTGGACCCGGCGTTCTGTGCCCTGGGAGACCTCTCGGGCATGCACGCCCGCCCCCCCCCCCCCCCCCCCAGAGACTGTTTGGTCCTCACCACGATCCGTAGTCCTTCAAGGACAGGGGCGGAGTCCCCAGCTTTTAATGTGTGTCACCCACGCATGTGCCTTGGGAAAGGTACACAGATGGCGCCCAAGTAAAGACTGTCTTTAAGTGGAGGCAGCTGTCCCGCTACTGCAGGGCGGTAACTGGAAAGACTTGGAAGGAGAACCCCCTCCCCCCCCTTCAGTGGCCCTTACCATGAGGACCCCAACAGGCACACCCAGCCGCTCAGGAAGGCTTAGTTTGTTGGGACAGGAGAAGCCCTGGCTCCCCGGCAGACCCTTTCCAAAACCTGCCACCTCGTGCCATCTGCCCTTAGATATTTTCCCCGTTTTATTGAGATACAGTCGACATACACAGTTGTGTAAGTTGAAGGCGTACACGTGATGTGAGTTGCGCTTAGCTGTTTACCGGGGTACCTGGGCAGGGCCCTCCAAGCCCTCCTTGGGTGCCAGCCACCCCATCTGGCCCAGGCCAGGGCGCCAGGGTTGTGGCAGATTGGGGGACCAGAGATGAAGACGTGTGTCCCTGCAGAAGGATGCCCCAGCCAGTGGAGGAAGAGGGTGTCCTCACAGCAGAGGGGAGAGTCGGGGAGCCAGTGCCTGGCTGTGCAAAGACAGGGAGAGAATGGTATTAGCTGAAAAACACCAAAACCCGCTCCCACAATTCCTTTGTCTACTCGCTTATTTATTTTAAACAGAACAATAATGGTCTCAACGCCCTGATCCTCCAGGTATCCTGCATAGCAGGATCCTTTCTTTTCCAACCCTTGCGGCTTTAAAAAGTGCTGAGCGGTGATCTTGGTGCCCTTCTTGGCACATCAGGGAGAGCCAGAGCCGCAGCCCCCGCCCCCCCAACTGGTGGCCAGTGGGGAGCATGGGAATGGGGGTGGTTAATTTTCCAAGTGAGAGATGTCACCTGCTGGCCCTGCCTTGGCTGACCCACAGTGACGCAGAGAACCGGGCCCGCTGCCCATTTTCAAACCTGTGAACGAGCAAAGCGTAAAAACCAGCCGCAGGAGAATGACCCTTTTCTCTCTCTCTCTTTTTTTTTTTCTTTGTCTTTTTGTCATGGGGGGTCTGCCCCTCCTGCTGTCCGGGCCTTCCATCCATCCCTGAAGAAAGAGAATCAAGCGCGGTAAGTGTCAGCACTCTGGAATCTGAAATCTGGGGCTGTGTGTTGCGGGCTGAAAGGGGCTGGGGGAGGAGGATGGGACCACGTGGGATCCGGGAGGGGGGGGGCTGTTATGAAACAGGAGTTGCCACCTTCTGGGAGTGACCTTCGGGTGGGGAAGCTGTCATCTCTCCAGGCTTCCCGTCCATCATCTGGCAAATGAATAGTTTTCGGTGAGCTCTCTCTTTTTTTATGAGAGGCGATTAACCAGACAGGTCAGCCGGCCAGGCCCATGGGGTTACTGGGGCTCCCCACAAGCAACCCCAGGGGTCCTGCGTCCCGGACTGGGCTGCTTCCCCCCCTCCCAGGTTGGCTGCCCCTTCTATGATCCTGTGTCCTCCTCGCTTCCCCCGAACGCCTGAGGTTTCTCCCTTGTTCTGGGCTTTACCTCGGTTTCAGAAAGCGCTAGCGCGCCAGCATCAGGGCCAGGCTGTCCGCGTGTCTGCCAGCTCTGAGATTTGTTGTAAATCTTTCTGATCACACTGAGGCTCAGAGGTTCTGTTTCAAGTGAATAAGCCTTCTGAATAAGGGCAGTGGAGTCTGGATAAAAAAAATCCTCCAGCGATTAGCAAAGCTATTTTATTTCTCATCGCTGTCCTTGTATCTGGGGCCATCTAATCTGTTAGGATGGCTTTGGTTATTACCTCCCGTTAAGTAGGACTTGGAAGGTCAGGCAGTTAACTAACCATCGAGAAGGCAGCTTCCTCGGGCAGCTCCTCCAGCCCGACCCCCTTTCCCCCGGCCCTCCCCCAGGCAGATTTTATAAACCGCCCAATTAGCAGCGGTGCTCTCCTCTGCCATCGGCTCGCCAGTGTGCTCCGGGTCCTCATTTGGGCCCAGCAATGGCTGGGCTCCCTCAGAAAAGAGTAACTGAAGCTGAAAATCCATTTTGATTGCTTTAGTGTTGATCTTCGAAAAGGTGGCCATTTTTGGAGAGGTGGTCTGCCTAGATAGGGCTGGACCCCTCAGGGTGCGTGGCCGGTCCTGGCTTCATGGAACACTGGGGAGCTCTCGCGGCCTCTCCGAGTGTCAGTGTCTGTACAGGTGAGATGGGCAAAATTCTGCCCAGCTTGGTCAGGAAGCCCCCTCAGAACAGAACCTGGCCTCCAGGAGATGACCCTGTTAACAAGGCAGCTGCAGCCCAGTGAACCAAAGGTTTGAAGCCTGACGCCCTCTGTCCTAACCCCATTGCTGTTTGCATTTGGCTTTGTGCCCCACCCCCTGTCTGTGAAAGCTTTCTGCTAAAAGAACCCCAACCGAGGGGACCCCCCAAGAGCTGAACTCCTCACCCTGCAGCACCCCCACACATGCACACCAGACTCGGCAGTGGGGCAGGGGGGGAATACACTCTGGACCCTGGAGAGTCCAGTGCGATGGAATCAGGATGCTATCCGTCCCGGGGCTCCCGGTGGGGCGCACAGCTCAGGGAGGGCGAGCCAGTAGGACCATGTGTACATGCGGCTGCGGCGTCGGAGGAAGCCGCGGTGAGCGGCCCCTCGCAGACCAGGTTGTCAACCGATGAGGCCCCCCGCAGGAAGGACCGGGCCGCGGCCGGGTGTTGGGGGGGGGGGGGCGACTGGGCTGGAACCTGTCTCAGAGGGTTTAGCCTAGAGTCCAATTAGAGGTGGCTTCATTCATATTTCCTTGCCTCGCCGAAGCAATAAAAAATACTTAGTTTTCTGGCCGCCTGCCAGCCAGAGGCGGGCTGGATCGATGCCGCTAAATGCCTGACATGACTCTCTCCGGTAGCAGCGAGGGTTTTCAGCCTGACTGCAGGAGAAGAAAGAGCTCGCTGTTCTCAGGGCCGCGTCCTGGGTCGGGAGGAGCTGCGCGAGCTGCCGCACGCCCCCCGCCGCGCCGCGCCGCGCCCCTCGGCCCCGCCCCCGCCTCTCGACTCCGCCCCCGGCCCCGCCTCTCGACCTCGGCCCCGCCCCCCGCCCGCCCGGGGAGCGGAGGGGCTGGAAGCGACGCTGCTCGGCGCGGGGCGGCCGCCGTCGGAGGAAATGAAATGAAATGGCGGTGATTTTTTCCGCGGGCGCTGGCGGCGGCTAATTGAATTGCGGCTGTGCGCGCCTCGCCGCCGCTCCCGCCCGGCTGTGGGGAGGGCTGAGCTGCAGTCCCATTATACTCTCCATTTTTTCCTTCAAGGCTTGATAACTCTGCCATTTTAATTTGCTTCAGGCAGAAACTTGGCAGGGAAGGGCTGCCCAGAAACCGGCTTAGGAAAGGAAATTAAGTTCTGTGGCTGGTTCCCACACCGTGCTCCCCGCATGCCCCCCCCCCCCCCCCGCCTCTGCAAATGCCGGCACCTAGGTAGAGGCTCACCCCAGCCTCCGCCTTTTGATACCCTTCTCGGCTGAGCGGGCGTCCGTCTGTGGCCCTGCGTGGTGGCCATGTATGTCCAGCACGTCTGTGAGGCATGGGGTTGCGGATGGACTGGCCTTCCCCTGGCCTGTAGCCGGACTGAGCCGCGCTCTGTCCCCATCCCTGGCACCCAGCCCTAGGCCTGATCCAGGGTGGGTGAGTGCTGAGTGAAGGGGGGTGTAGCTTAGGCGCCTAGAAACCGGCAGGGCTCAGGTTTGCTGGCGGGGGTGCCCCTGCTGCTGGTAGCCCCTCCCTCCCTGCTCCCCAGCCCGGTGCAGGTGCTGGCAGCCACAGATCTGTTACACTCCTGGCCTCGGGGCTGCCCCCCCTCCCCCGCCTCAGCCAGCGGGGTCCCTTCCTCTGCCGGTCACCCTCCCGCCCCTGGGACAGCTCTGTTCCCAGGCTTGTCTGCCTGGTGCTGTTCCTGCTTTGCCTATCCACCCATCCCGGCTCTTCCCAGGCCTGGAATGTCCAACAATAGCTGTGCTTTCTTGCTTTGGCGTTTGAAGGGAGAGCTCATGGGGCCATTCCAAGCCTGAGAAGGCTCGGTTTCCTTCATGTTACCTCCAGTGGGGGACCTGGGGCACGTTTCCCCTACCTGCCCCCCGCCCATTCCCATCGTTACAGAGAGGATGATTCCTTCCACCTTCCCTCATGCCCTTTCCCACCTTCCAGAGGGAAAGGCTCCCCGATGTCGCAATTGTTTCTTTAAAAACACTGCTGCTTCTCAGAAGTTGCTGGAGGCCCTGCAGTGGGGGAGTAATGGTGTTCACGCAAAATGCCAAGTTGCCCACGTACACTGAGAAGGCCTGTCGGCGAGCCGACGTTCTCCTTCCGGGTCAATCTCCCCGTTCCCAGGGGGTTCAGCTCATGATGTATTGCGCATGGCCCCTGTGTGTCGGCCAAGACCCATCTTTCAAGGCTCAGTGCAGATTTTGCTTAGCCTTTCTTTGAGCAAATGTACGCGGCCGGCCCAAGATGGATGTGGAAGGAGAGAGGTGTGACCCGGCCCTCACAGAAAGCGCAGCCTCGAAGGCCGCGTGGCAAGACAGCTCAGGGCAAGCCTGTTTACTTCATAGCAGCATCCACGGCTCCAAAAGAGACCAGTGCTCCCTGGGCCTGTCCCAGGGGGACCCCGTCTGGAGAGCTGGGAAGGCTTCCCCAGCATGACCCAGATGGAACAGAGACGACTTCGAGGACCTGGCCCTCAGTGCGGGACACACGCAACACCCCCACTGACCCCTTGGGTCACCCGCATGTAGCTATGTCTTGGGGTGCATGGAACGTTCACGCTGCATCTCCTTGTTTCCAGAACAACTCGGTGTCGCCCTCGGAGAGCCTCCGGGCCAGTGAGAAGCACCGGGGCTCCGCAGATTACGGCATGGAAACCAAGAAGCGGAAAGCGGAGGAGAAGGACAGTCTGAGCCGATACGTAAGTTGGAGGGCACGGTGGCCCCCCCGGGGTCTGTGCTGGAAGCTGAGGGTGGGAGAAGCCGCGGGCCTGACTTGTGGGTGACTCAGAGGTGCAGGTGGGGACAGGCTGGGTTGTCTGGTGTGTGTTTGGGGTCTCTGGGGGACACACACACGCACTGTGTGCCCATGGGCTGCCGCAGCCAGGAGGGCCGTGGGCGCCTCCCACAGATGTGCAGGCGACCCCATGCTGCCATCCCGGCCTTCCCAGAGTCCCCGGATTGCTCCAGGGGGCCGTCCCCGGCGCCCCCACACTGCGACCCAACAACGGGGTCATGTTACCTGCTCTGGGCCAAGCCGTGCTGGAAGAGAGCTGGGACCGAGGGAAGGGCACCATGCAGTGCCAGCTCCGCTCTGTCCCTTTGCTGCTTGGGGCTTTGGATGTGTTGCCCAAATGCCTCGGCTGTATTTCTGGGCAAGAAGCTGATCACCCTCCTCCCCCCTCACACACACACACAGCAGCGGACATGATACAATGAGCCTAGCCTTGTCCGTGACAGTGGGTATAAAGCCGGCTGCAAGGAGCCGTTTGGCTCCAGAGAGACAAGTTGGAGGGGGCTCAGCAATTCTGTGATGGGGCAGGTATGGGTGAGGCTGCCGGTGGGCCCGGGGCAGGGCTGGGGGGCTGGGCAGAGAGACCAGAGCATGCCCTTTGGGCTTTGGCCCGGGTTCGGATTCCGGATGGTGGAACCCAGGAGTGGTTTAAGCTCTGACTGGGGTCGGGTGGGGGTGACCTTCTTACTGGCTTCTCTCTTGGTTGCAGGACAGTGACGGGGACAAGAGTGACGATCTGGTGGTGGATGTTTCCAACGAGGTGAGTGCAGGCTCAGGTTGCAGCGTGCTTGGTTTGGGGTGCTTTGGGGCTGCCCTTCCCCCAGCTAGGAGCTGACGTTACTGGCATGTTCTGAGCAGGGCGGTGAGGCCTCCGGTGCTGGGGCATCAGGTCAGGCTGGTCAGGAGGCGATGGACGGGGCTTTGCTGCCTGGCGACTTGGGTTCCTTAGGATGGGAACCTAGGTCAGACAGGGCAGGTGCGCCCCAAAGATCCTGGGGTGGGGGGAGAGCCAGGCCCTCGAGGTCAGCTCTGTGATCCCCACCACCCCTGGGATCTCGAGAGCAGGGGGTTGTGAGCCCCTTGGGATCAGTTTTGGCAGGGGATGAGGATCTGGAGAGGTCTACCTACAGGAGGCCCTGCCGCCCGAATTTGAGTCATGAACTTGTGTTTGATCCTGCGCTGGTCACCACCCCCCAGCCCCGCCCAGACCCCAGTCTCCCTGTCGTCGGTGAGACGGAAGGGGAGAGACCAGATCATTAAGAGCTAGTTGCCCCCACTTGGAGGCCCCCCGTCTCTTCCGGCCAAGCTCCTCTCCGCATCAGTGGCGCACGCTCCCTTCCCGTTCTCGGAGCAGGGAAGGCCCCGGCTGCTTGTTGATTTTCACGCATCCCCGTGCCTATGCTTTCAGGACCCGGCGACGCCCCGGGTCAGCCCGGCGCACTCCCCTCCTGAGAATGGGCTGGACAAGGCCCGAGGCCTGAAGAAGGACGCCCCTACCAGCCCCGCCTCCGTGGCCTCATCCAGCAGCACCCCTTCCTCCAAGACCAAAGACCTTGGTCACGTACGTGGGGTCTGCCACTAACACCACAGAAACGGGGGGGGGGAGGCGGTGGGGTCGGAGGGCAAAGGTTTTGGGAAAGGGAGAGGCAGAGGGCTGGAGAACAGAGAACACAGATGGGGGTTTGGCCCCGGCTCAGATACCGTCTTTACCACGCACTGGCCGGGCTTCGTGCCACCCGTTGACGCGTCTGAGCCTTGGTTGCGGCATCTGTACAATGGGAGCAGTCGGTTACCAAAGTGCCCGCCACACAAGGCTGGGCAAGAACTGAGGGCTGCTGGGCAGAAGGCTGAGAACTGGAGCCGGCACTGGGTGCCCTGGCCAGCACCAAGGGCCCGGCTCTTGGGAGAAAGGAATCCTCATGTCTTCCCTGTTCAGAATGACAAATCGTCCACCCCTGGGCTCAAGTCCAACACACCTACTCCCAGGAACGACGCCCCGACGCCAGGCACCAGCACGACCCCGGGGCTCCGGTCGATGCCGGGCAAGCCTCCAGGCATGGACCCGATAGGTATAATGGGTAGGCACAATGGGGCTGGGTCGACCGCGTTTGAGGGGAGGGGTCTGCCCCGGGGACGGGACAGGAGCCACACAGATGGGCAAGAGTGCGGGGAGTATGTGGAGTCGGGGCTCTCGCGGGCATTCCAGGGGGCTTCAGGGTCAAGTCTGAGGAAGTTACGGACGCTGGGTGCGTCAGCACGGACGGCAGGGCTTACTGGGAGTTACTGGGCTCGGCTTCAGGCAGGTCAGGCTACCTGTGGTCCGTCCCCACCTCTGCCATTAGTTCTGTGAGACACTCAACTAACGTCTCCGGGCCTCCGTGTCCTGCCTTGTAAAAAAAGGTGGGCCCATCTCCACTTGAACCTTCTTGGACTGGGAAGACCAGGATCCCAGTTAGGTGGGTTTCAGTCCCAGAGGACTGCCCAGAGCGGGCGGCTTTCAGATGCCGGAAATGCAGGAACGAAGAAAGGATCACTATGAGGCTGGGAGGCAGGCAGATAGGCAGGCCGGTGGCCTGAGCTCCGTCCTGGAGGGGAGGGGTGGGCCTTCCGCCCCTGCTCCCCCCCCCTCAGGGTCTCCCCCCCCCCGGCTGACTTCGTCCTCCCTGCAGCCTCGGCCCTGCGCACCCCCATCTCCATCACCAGCTCCTACGCGGCGCCCTTTGCCATGATGAGCCACCACGAGATGAATGGCTCGCTCACCAGCCCCAGCGCCTACGCCGGCCTCCACAACATTCCGCCCCAGATGAGCGCGGCAGCTGCCGCCGCCGCCGCCGCCTATGGCCGATCGCCAATGGTGAGCTTTGGAGCTGTACGTAGACCTTTTGGCTCCTTTTGGGGGGCGGAACTGGGCCAGGAGTGGGGAGCTGGCGGGGTTATCAGGCAGCCGCCTTTGGACCAGAGTGTTCATTAGAAAAAGGAAGGAGCAGACGCTCTGGGGTCAGCAGACCTGGTTCCCACCTCCTTTTTGTGCCTTAGTCTTCACGTGACCTCTCGTGACCTCTCGCAGCTCAGCCTCCGAGGGGTCCCATCTTTTCCCATCTGGGAAGTGGGGCGAGAACCTCTTTCTCTGGGCTCTGGGGGGGGATGGGAATCCCAAAGGGAGGCCAGTGGCTCCAGCGTTGCCTGGGTTTGGTAAGTGAGGCTGTTGGCTGTATCAGGGATGGGTTCAGATTGGCGTCGGTGGAGAGGGGTTCTTTTTCAGGAGACAGTTTGTCTCTTGGATGGCCTCCTGTCCACATGACAGGCCCGTTGGACGCCAGGGGAGGGAATGAGGTGGGCCTGTACCTTGTGGAGCATGGAGAGCGGGCCGCGGGGCCTAGAACACTGTCCTGGAGCTGGTGGCTCTGGACTGTCACCCTGTCCCTGCCACTGTCCTGGATGAGGCACTTGGCCCTTGCAGGGCCTGCCTTTCCTTTGAGACAGCGGGTTCTTTCTGCTCTGCTCCGCTGTCTTCTGGGTTTGGAAGGGGCAGCACTGTGTGGGCAGGCCTCGGAAGTGCTGAAGGAAGAGGCCAGGGTCGGGGGATGGGTGGCGGCACCCCTCCCTAAGGTCTGGCCTCATGTTGCCTCACAGGTTGGCTTTGACCCTCACCCTCCCATGCGGGCCACAGGCCTGCCCTCAAGCCTCGCCTCCATTCCTGGCGGAAAACCGTAAGCTCTGGCTTTGCTTATTGCATGCTTCTCGGGGAGGTGGGGGGTGGGGGGGAAGCACGCCACCCACCACCCCCGTCCCCTGCCCTGGCAGATGTCCCCTTGGGAAGGTGTCTGCCCTCTAGAGGTTCGCAGAGACCCAGTTGCAGCCCGGGAGACGGCCACCCGGCCATGCTCCTGACCAGCCCCTGGGCTCCCACAGAAGCTTCTCTGGGTTCCAGCCGCAGGCAGACCACGTGTACTCCACGATTCGTCCTGGGGGGGCAAACCTAGTTCCCGCCCTGTTACCCCCGGGCTTGCTTCTAAAGGAGGAGGTAACATGCAAGCTGAACCCTTTCAGGGGGCTTTATAACTGTAGGAGAGGGCATTCCGAGGCACAGGGGGGGCCCGCGACCTGGTTTGGAGCCCCAGGGTATGTGACCAGGAAAGGAAGTCAAGGTCGAGATTCAGTAATCCCTGTCCTGGCAGAGCCAAACCAAGGAGGTGTGGGAGTGTGGGGGTTACCAGATTCCCTGAGACCTGGGGAGGGTGTACGGGGCGGGGGGGCCATCTGACCCGGGCAGGACTCACGGGGACAGAGAGAGGGTTGGGGAGGACACAAGGGCCGCGTCTCCCTTTCAGAGCCTACTCGTTTCACGTGAGCGCTGATGGGCAGATGCAGCCAGTGCCCTTCCCCCACGACGCCCTGGCGGGCCCCGGCATCCCCCGGCACGCCCGGCAGATCAACACGCTGAGCCACGGGGAGGTGGTGTGTGCCGTGACCATAAGCAACCCCACGCGGCACGTCTACACGGGCGGCAAGGGCTGCGTGAAGATCTGGGACATCAGCCAACCGGGCAGCAAGAGCCCCATCTCCCAGCTGGACTGCCTGGTGAGGACCCAGGCTTGCAGGCGGGGGTGAGGAGGGCGGGGGGGCAGCCCAGCTCAGCCTTCTACTCAGCAAGCTGGCTAACCTCTCTGAGCCTTGGTTTGACCATCCCTAAGTGTGGATGATCCCAAGCTCTCTGGGGCACGTGAAGAAAAACATGAAAGATCGAAGGGCCGTGAACGACCAAGGGCTCCCAGTGTCGCTACATAGGACGCCTCTGGTCCCCGGAGCAGGGAGGTGGGCAGAGCTCAACACGGCCCCTTGTCCGTCCAGAACAGGGACAACTACATCCGCTCCTGCAAGCTGCTCCCTGATGGGCGCACACTCATTGTGGGCGGGGAGGCCAGCACGCTCACCATCTGGGACCTGGCCTCACCTACGCCCCGCATCAAGGCCGAGCTGACCTCCTCGGCGCCTGCCTGCTACGCCCTGGCCATCAGCCCTGACGCCAAAGTCTGCTTCTCCTGCTGCAGCGACGGGAACATTGCCGTGTGGGACCTCCACAACCAGACCCTGGTCAGGTGAGGCCACGGGGGTCCTCGAGGCAGGCCTCATCCTCAGGAAGGCTGCGCAGGGCGTGGTAACTGGGCTCGCCTCCGGCGCTGCGGCTGTGGGGTGGCTACAGCAGAGGGGGCGCAGATGCCCCGGAGAGGGGGCAGCCACGTGCCAGAGGATAGAGGCCTGCCCCCACAGAAGGCCCCGGGGAGAGGGGAGCTGGAGCAGGTCAGGGAGCATGGGATTCAGAGCAGCAGAGCTAAGCAGAGGGTGGGGACTGAGGATGGAGGGCCTCGGGACCAGACAAGCCGAATGGTGTCACTTGGTGGTTATCGTGGGGCCTCGGAAGCAGCTGCCGGGTGTGAATCCTGCCCGCAGTACGACCTTGTACAAGCCACTGAACCCCTGGGCCTCAGTTTCCCCTATGTGAGACGGGCGGGGTGAAGCACTTCCGCGGAAATGGAGCACAGCGTGAGGCAGCGTGCCTGCCCCAGAATCGGCTGTTGGTACATCCTGACCGTGTCCATTGGTCCTGGTAGCTCGCAGCTCATTTGTGGCCTTAGCCCCACGGCTCAGGCAGGGGGAGTAGGATGGATAAAGAAGGCAGATGGGGGAGGCCCCCAAGACCTGCCTGTGGGGGAGCTCTCTGGTGGGTGGAAGAAAGCCCAGCCCGGCTGCTCAGCGAAGGACCCCCTTCTGGGCCTCAGTTTCCCCTTCTGCACAGATCGAGCTGGCCTGCCCGCCTTGGACAGCTGCCTGCTTGGCACTCAGTGGTCCCTTAGGGCTCACCCCCGTCTCCCCGCTTGGCTTCCATAGGCAGTTCCAGGGCCACACGGACGGGGCCAGCTGCATAGACATCTCCCACGATGGCACCAAGCTGTGGACCGGAGGCCTGGACAACACCGTGCGCTCCTGGGACCTGCGGGAGGGCCGCCAGCTGCAGCAGCACGACTTCACCTCCCAGGTGTGCGCTCCCCTCCCCTCGCCCCTGGCCGCACGCTCCCTTGTCTCCCGGGCTCCCAATGGCCGGGACGGGACAAGGGAGCCCTAGCAGGCGATCATTGCAAATGCACCTGAGACCCACCTGAGCCTCCTTGGAAGGCTTCCTGGAGGAAGCAGCAATGAAACAGAATCTCCAGGGCCTTGGAGTTGGACGCACTTGACCCAACTGCTCAGATCTGGGTCTCAGCTCCTCTCCTGTTGAGTCCTTTGGCCTTGGTTTTCTCCCTTATGGGATGAGCAGAGCAGTAGCGATCTCATAGGCCTGATGTGAGCAGCTAAGATGGTCCCTCTAAAAGCCTTAGCCGTAGCCCGGCTCATAGAAAGTTCCCTATAAATGCTAGGTATCGTAATTTTCCGTTGTTATTTGTACTACTTACTTTAATATCATAGCCTTATATATTTAATATTTTAATGTTTTATTTTGCTTTTAAGGTTTTGTCTATTGATTCTTATTTAGTTTTTGAGAGAGAGTGTGAGCAGGGGAGGGGTAGAGAGAGAGGGGGAGACAAAATCCCAAGCAACCTCTGTTCCCAGCATGGAGCCTCACATGGGGCTCAATCCCACAACCCTGGGATCGTGACCTGAGCCGAAATCGAGAGTCAGACACTCAACAGGCTGAGCCACCTGGGTGCCCCCTGTGTATTCCCTTTATTTTTTCTCAAGGAAAGGCAGGAACCCTAGAGACCAAGTTACCTTGAAAGTGAAAGGCCCGAGCCACCTCTGAGACGGAATGCTGGCTGTGCTACTTAACTGTGTGGAGTCAGCAACCTCTCTGAGCCTCTACTTCCTCGCCTCTAAAAGGAACCCCAGGGCTGAGGAAGAGGGGCTTTGCCTCGCCAATAAATTGCAAGTGGGCAGGTGACGGGAGTTGTCACTGGGCCCCTGCCTTCGGAGTCCCTGAGCAGGGCATTTTGGGGAGCCCCCTGGGGCCCTGAGGGCAGAGGAGTTGAACCTAATCTGCCCCCCCTCCCGACAGATCTTCTCCCTGGGCTACTGCCCCACCGGAGAGTGGCTGGCTGTGGGCATGGAGAGTAGCAACGTGGAGGTGCTGCATCACACCAAGCCCGACAAGTACCAGCTGCACCTGCACGAGAGCTGTGTGCTGTCCCTCAAGTTCGCCTACTGTGGTGAGTCCCGGGGAGCCAGGAGCCCGGCGCAGACAAGGGGTCCCCTAAAGCTTACAGAGGGGCAGAGCCCTGGCGTGAGCCACATCCTGCAATTGGACTTCCTGATTGCGACCACTTTCCGCCCCCCACCCCCCACCATCCTGTCCCTGGGAAGCTGTGGACACTGCCACAGGGTGCCAAGCACTCACAGCGCCCAGCCAGAGCCAGACCGGGATATCTGCTTCCCCCCACTGACTGGCTGTGCTCCCGGGGACCCCTCTCATCCTCTCTGAACCCCAGTGGGTCTTTTTCAGGGGACCACAAGTGGCCCCTACGGGCAGGGTCCTGGCAGAGCGGCCTGCGGAGAAAGAGCGTCCGCTGACCACCGGCCTCAGCCGGGTCTCCAGGTCTCAGGGCATTGCCGTTTCTAGTACTTCCTGCCGCCTTGCGGCAGTAAGACCGAGAAGGTTCCACCGAATAGTGGCTTTAAAAAGAAATCTTTGGGGGGACGCATAATGTCTGTGGTTAACTGCGGGTCCTCCCTTTCTGCGTCGCACCTGCTCCCCCTCTGCCCTTGACTGTGGAGAACAGTGTTCTCTGGGTGTGAGTGAGTGGGTTCCGCGGGTGTGAGTCGGTTCCGGGTCTCACTCACCACACACCCCCCACCAGCCGAGAGTCTAATTAAGCACCCGGTTGGCAGTCCACACCGCGTTTCCATGGCAGCTGCCCTTTGCGGGGGGTGGAGGGGGGTCTTGCCTGCGGGGCGGCAAGCCACGAGCTGACGTCCCCTTTGCCTCCTCCCTGCAGGCAAGTGGTTCGTGAGCACGGGGAAGGACAACCTCCTTAATGCTTGGCGGACCCCGTACGGAGCTAGCATATTCCAGGTACTACCTGGGCGCCTGGCGCTCTGCCCAGAGTTGGGGCCCATCCGTGGGGGTGGGGCCGGCGTGAGGAAAAGCAGGACTTGCCCGGCCCCCCTTCAGGACGCTATCTGATGGGGGTCCAGGATGGGTTCCCAGAGGCGAGGCAGCTGCTGCTGGTGTCTGAGCCTGAGGGGCGAGGGCTTTGACGCAGGGGTTCTGGAAGGATCTCTAGAGCAGGGGGTGGGGCACGTCCTGCTTTTGGCTCTGGCCTTTGTGCTGCGCAGTCACAGGAGGTGCCCTGGGCAGTTGAGCAAACAGGACAGCTCTTTTCAGGCCAGCGTCAGCCGGTGGTCAAGTAAATTTGTCTTTTAGCTTGGCACCTCGGTGTAAAGAGAGTGGTGTGGTGGGAAAACGGGTCTGGAAAGAGATGGGGGGAGGGGCTTTTCAGGATTCCTGAAGATCTGGGTTCCAGTGGACTGCTCTCTCAATTATACACGCTCTTGTGCAAGCACGCGCGCGCGCATACACACACACACACGCACGCACACTGTGCTACTGGGCTCCCACCCGTCAAGCCGCCTTCAGGATCGATCCTGGGGAATGTCTAGCCCCGGTGTGTCCCACACGTAATGTTTAGAGTCCTCCCTCTCCCCTCAGCCACACTGGACGCCTCAAGTTGGGTCTAGACCCTCTCCCTAGCTCAGCAGGCCGAGGCTCTGGCCCGCCGAGGCCCACGTCCTGCTCAGACGTGCTCCCTCCTTGTCTCTAAATGCCGAGGTTTCGAACCACACAACTTCAAGATCACACTGGACCCTGTTAACGAGCTTTTCCTGGGGAGAAGGGACATCTGTCGCCTCTGCGGGGTGTGCCGGGGGAGGGGGTGTTGGAGCTCCAGGGCCGTGAAGTGGAGGGGCATCACGCAGACAGCACGGCAGTCATGCTGAACGTCCGGAAAGTGAATTTCTGCCTTCTTTCTCCCCTCCCCCTCCTGCCTGTGTCCCCTTCCTGCTCCAGTCCAAGGAATCCTCGTCTGTCCTGAGTTGTGACATTTCGGCGGATGACAAATATATTGTAACGGGCTCTGGTGACAAGAAGGCTACGGTTTATGAGGTCATCTACTAAACAAGGCCTCTAACAGGGCTGTCAGACTCCGGGAGAGACAGACACGGCGGTGACAGGGCGACCCCACCAGGGGCCCCCGAGGCTGGCGGCGGCTGGCGGCGGCTGGCGGCGGGCGGCCGAGCGGTTCAGGGCTGCGCTCCGGCGGGCCGAGAGGGCGCGCCCGCCACGGCCAGGGCTCCCGGGCACGGACTCGCGTGTCTCACGGACTCCGACGGACGTCCCTCCTCCTCCCGCTCTGCGACCCTGGCAGACGCTACAAGTAGATTGATTGGAGGCTCGGGGGGGCCCCAGCCCACCCTGCCCCGCAGACACCCTCGTGAATCTCCATCTCTCCTTCCCCTTTCTTTTGCTCTGTCCCCCCTGCCCTGGGTCGGGGACACCGGAGTGGACCACGTGTTTATGCTGGGGGAGGGGGGAATCTCATTTTCCCGATTGTGCAGCGCACAACCTTTGTGAAAAATGTAAATAACAGACTCCTCTATCTCGGACTGGTCAGTGCGGGAGGAGGGCCCTTCCCACCGAAAACGCTAGCCGTGTACTTCGCCTGCTGTATTTGTAACCCACTCGTGGTGGTGGCTTTTTTTTTTTTTTTTTTTTAAGGGACATCCACATTTGGGAAGGGGAGGCCGGGAGGGGGAGCCAAATGGAGAAGGAGTGGAGGAGGTGGAGGAAGGGAGGTGCAGCCAGCGACCAGACTGACCGGAAGGGGCCCCCCCGGGACGAGCACCCCTCCCCGTGGACTTGGGAGTTGCCCGAGGCCAGCAGGACCCACCACGGGCGGCCAGCCTGGGCCGACAAAGGTCGGATTCCCTGTGGCCTCCCGCCCTTGCCTCCCTCTCTCTCAGGGGTCCGACTCTCACTCTGTCTTTCCCTCTCGCCTCGCTCTCTCTCTCTCTCTCTTTGGTGCACACTTGGTTATGGCGAGGAGAAGTGGAGGTTCAAAAGGAACCCCACCTCTGGCCCTTCTTCATCTTTGGACACAACCTACAACGGACAAAAAAGTTAGCGGAAAGCATTTGGCGACTCAGCTCAGGGAGCTACCGGAGAAAATAGCAACTGATGTGGGTGCTTTTTTTTTATTTGAATAAAAAGAATTAGAATTAATGTCCTCTATAAAATGCCTTCTCCCCCTTTTCCTGCCTCAGACCCCTTCCTCTCTCCCTAGAGGGGCAAAGTGTCATCCACCTGCAGGGTGGGGTGTCCGAAGGGATTGTCTCCCCCTGCCCACCCCCCACCAGCCCAGCCCCGGGCAGCCCAGCAGGGCTGGGGGACCAGGGCTCAGTGGGGACACGGATCTCGGCACTGTGGTGACTTCTTGCGGTTGCAGTCTCTCTCTCTTTTGAGCCCAAACAGGTGATAGGTAGCAAATGGCCTCTTGCGGGTACCTCATTTTGGTACCAAAATGGTCGGAGGTATTAGGATTTGGGTTTGGTTTTTTTTTTGTTTTCTCCTTTGGTCTTTTTTTTTCTTGTTCTCCTTCTTTTAAGGGAAAGGTAAAGGCCGATGTGAGCCCTGGTGGTGGGCTCTCCGTGGATGTAGCATATGGAAGATAATTTTGATACTGCATTTTTATGGATTATTTTATAATGTGTGATTCTGTCTGGAGAGAAGGAAGGAGGGGCTCCCGTGGAAACTGCTGGTCTTCAGTGATCTTGCTCCCGGCGAGCAGCTCCCCTGACAGGAGGGCGGGGAAGGGGGGGCCCGGAGGCCTCGGAGACTAGTGAGCCCCCCCGACCCCACCCCCCGTACTTTTCTGAGGGTGGGGGAAGGGCTGTCTAGAGAATCTCTCTCTCTTTCTCTGGTTCATCTGCCGTCTTGTGAAGGCTCTAGCCACAAGGGAGGGTGAGGGTAGAAAAAGTTGATTCCTGAAGAAAAAAAGAAAAATGAAAAGTCATTGTAATGAGCTGTTTTTATATTTTTAAAAGTTGCTATTTAAAGGTTGGCTTGATTGTTGTGTTTTAATTGCCTCCTTCCCCCCCCCCCACCCCACCGTGTGTCAGTCCACCCCAGAAGAGCCGCTGGGGCCACTGTCCCTCCTTATGCCCCCGGGTTCTGGCTGTTGTCCTTTGTTCCCTCTAAACATAGGCTCTTCTCATTTCTGGGCACCTCACGTGCTGTCCCCAATCCCTGAGAGTCCGATCTTGCAGGACAGCGAAAAGGAGTGTGTTCCGAGCCTCCCTGAGTTCCCGGGGGGAGGACCACAGATCTGTATCAAAGTCAGAGAGCCGTGAGTGCAAAGCTTTTGGGCAAAAAGTGAAACGTGAATGTCAAGTGCGAAGTTGTAGGAACATCTGTACTGAAAGCCTACGCCATCCTTAAGCTGAAAGTCAGAGGTTACGGATGGTGAGGGAGGGGACGTGGACTTGATCTCCAGTTCCCCCAGGTGTGCGAAGGCTTTAGACGAGGGGTTTGCAGAAGGGGTGGGGTAGGAAATGCCCCCCAGTGCCCTGGGGATGCAGGACCGGGAGGGGGTGCTTCCTAGGCTCTGGGACTTCCTCCTCACCCCAGACTAACATGGTTTTCGCCTGCTTGCTTGGTCACAATTGCCACGTCACCATTGTCCCAGATAAATCACAATCGCCCGCTGTCATTGTAAGCAAAAAAGGAAGAATAGTTTAACTTGCTTTTTAAAACGGAGTTAGAATAAAGCACAGTCTTTATTAACCTAGAAAGGACAGCCAGACCACAGGCACGGAGGGGTGGTCCGGCTGCAGAGGGATGTCCTCTAGGGCTTCTAGAGGAGAAGCTTCCAGCAGATGAACATTCATCTGAGCCTGCATTTGGGCTAACCGTCCTGTATGTACTGGCTGCATGGACTTTAGTAAAAGCTCACCCACCTCGTTCGTCCAGGTTTATGCTTGGAAGCCAAGGGCTAGAGGCTCCAGATGGTGGGCTCTGGATAGAAAATTCTGCGTGTGCCCCGGACCCTCCTGGGGACTGCCCACCGGGGCTAAGCGAGCAGTTGGGTTGCAGACCCCAGTGAGAGGTGGAGGAGCGTGCCTATCAGGGAATGCTCACCTCCTGTCTCGCCCTGGCAGAGGCCGTTACTGCCGTTTCCGAGAAGGGGTGCCACCTCTGAAAGACTGCCCTACCCAGATGTCCTGGGCACAGTCAAGGACGGATTGGCGACCAAGATTTCGTCTGAGCCACAGATGCTCGCACTCAAGGGTCGGGCGACAGTACAGCACCTCACTTATGTACATGCTGGGGGCGACACGCCCCCGGGCACCGGCTGCTAGCGCCTTGACTCATGCCTGGGGTCCCCGCCACTGTCCCTTCTACCAGCTCTCCAAGCCAGTCCACGCCGACTGTCACACTGGGTGCCGCCTCACCCGCCACTCCCCTCCGATTTCCACCGGCTTGTTGGAAACCCAGAATCTCAAGCCAGCAGCAGCGGAATCTGCCTTTTATGTTTTTTTTTATTATTTTTTTAATTTGAGAGAGAGAGAGAGAGATGGGGGGGGGGCAGAGAGAGAGGGAGACGCAGGATCAGGAGCAGACTCCAGGCTCCCAGCTGTTGGCACAGAGCCCGACACGGGGCTCAAACCCATGAACTGGGAAATCATGACCTTCACCCCTCCTGGCCTCCCTCTGGGCCACTGCCACCCCCGTTTCCCACCCTTAAGCTGCTCAACCCCAGCAGGGGCAGTGAATCTCTGAATTTTAGCGTCCATGAGAAGGTACCAAGATACAGACTTCTGGATACTATAGCTGGAAAGATCCATTGCAAGACTGCTAAATATTAGAAACTGGCCATCGTATATTTCATGATGATGGAGTAGTTTGTTTTTTTTTTTCAAGAACACAGTGCGTGAATAAGAATATTATTTTTAATTCACAGTATAGCTAGCAAACCTGATTAACCCTTTAAAATTTTTCATGGCTATACATCATTTTATTTTTCTTAGGCTAACAATATAAAATGTGCTCTGTGCACATGAAGCATTTTTAAACATTACATTAAAATTGGACTCTTTGTATTTGAAGAGGTATCTATACTGAGCCGTTGATTTTATAAATGGGACAATTAAGGCCCAGAAAGGGCAAGAGATATACCGGAAGTCACACAGCCTGAGCTGGATTACAAATCACATCTCCCTCCCCCCTAAATCCCTAGCATCCTCTCGGGGAAGGCAGGACTGAATGATGTTTAGAGGATTAGAATCCAGAGGATAAGGGCCCCTGCCCCTTCAACAGTACTGGTGAAAAAAAAGTTGCACATGGAAAGAGATGGCCAAGAAAAGTCGTAGAAACCAGGCCCTGCCTCGAGAACCTAGAACTCACCAAACTGTCCATCGATCCCCCACCCACTCATCTATCCATCCATCCACCCATCTCTCAAACCATCCTTGTATCCATCCAACCACCATTTACACAGTGCAAATCTAATATGCCTAGTTCTAAGTGCCAGAGTGCAAAGATCAAATCAGTAAGACATAATGCTTGGTCCTAGAGAAGTTTCTCAGCCAGAGATGGGAAAGAACAGATCCCACCGGCAGAGGAGGAGATCCGTGATCTCCAAGTGAAGAGCACAGGAGGGAAAGGAAGAGAAGCCCCCTCCCATCTCCACCCCTGCCCAGCTCAGGCCTTCCTCACGTCCATTAGGGCACCTCAGTTGGTGCCCAGGAAGCTCCACGATGTTCTCCCCCTGACCCTGACTCCGCTCTCTCCCGGGCAGATGAGACAGGGCAGGGCTGATGGCTCAGAAGTGGGCTCTTGGGGCTTCCTGGCCTGCAGAGGCCAGACAAAAGTCAGATGGGGCTGGAACCTTGTCTCTCCTTGGCATTGTAGCTGACCCGTGAGAGCATTTGCTGATGACAGGTTACATGGGATGAAGAAAGCAGGTGTAGAATTCTGGCAAATGAGCCAGCAGGCTAATAAGGATTCTCTTTAACCATGTGGACACAGAGACATGTTGGATAAGATGAAACAAACAATTTTATGAGCTGAGGAAGGAAGAGGGAGGGAGGGAAGGAGAGGGGAGGAAAGGAGGAAGAAAAGGGAGGAGAGAGGAAGGGAGGCAGGGAGGGAGAGAAATACTTTAACGCCATAAGTTTAAAAACTTTAAAGGCAGAGTGAACCCCTAAGCTCAGACCAATACCCCAAAACTACATAGAGCAAACATTGGAAAAATTACAAGGAAGAACGGGAGGTTTTGACATCCCACTAACAGAAACTGATAGATCAAGCCAAGGGTGACTTATAAGGGTGTAGATTTGAATAGGATAATTTGCAAGCTTGAGACACAGACCTACAACCAACTATTGAAGACGATTACTTTTCAGCACACTCAGAAGACTTAGTCTTACTAATCAAAGGAGAGAGAAGACATTTTACAAAATTCAGTCCCCATTCATGACGCTTCCTAAAGTACCGAAATAAGAATACAAGAAAAAGTCTTGAATCTGACAGTGGATAGTTAAACCAGACCTGTGGTCCAATAATAGATAGTGGTTAAGTTTTAGGAGCATTGGTTTAAATCCAGCCAAACAAAACAAAACCACAAGGATAATCATTACTGCTGCTATTCAACATAGTTCTGGAGGCTCTAGCCAATGCAATAAGACAAAATAAAAAATAAGGTACAATGATTGCAATGAAAACAACAAAGTTGTAATTATTTGCAGATAACATGGATGTATACAGTAGAAAATGTACAAACAATTAAATAGCGTTTAGTCAAGTCGCTGGATCCAAGATCAACATTGATTAACCAATTGCATTGCTATTCATAAGTAGTGACCAACCAAAAAAATGTAATATAAAAAAAAGGCATTTCCAATAGCAACAAAAACTACCCATGAATAGGTCTAAATAAAACCACACGAGACCTGAGTGGAGAAAAATATGAAGTTTTATTGAAGGAAATAGTTTTGAAAAGACCTATATGGATCCTAAGCTATACCACATTCATTGGTGAGAAAATCCAATTTTATTTCAAATGCTGTCTTCTCCAGAAACCTGTAATATGGTGTTAAGCAAAATCCAACTGGAGTATTTTCTATATAGTTTGATACACAGGCACTAAAATTTATCTGGAGAGTAAAAGACCAAAATTTACATGTATAAATTTGAAGAGGAATAGGAAAGATCTTGTCCTTCAGAT